TCTTCTATATCCAAAGCAAAATCTTTACTTGAAGCAGATGACATCACATCCTTAACGAATATTCAATTAAACAATAACAGTAATTTACGTAATAATCATAAAATAAAAAATCTATCATCTTCTTTTGCAACAGTAGATGATCGATCATTGAATATTTGCAATGAAACATTATCCAATACGAAGAAAATGCTGTTTGAACAATTGGRTGACGTTCAAATTAATAAGAACGTTAAAAATGAATTAAAAGAACCAGTTGAGTCACTAGAAGATTCAGAAGATATTAACACAAATTTAAATGAATCTGTTTTAAAAAAATACAAAGTTTCAAAAATTGGATTTACCACCGCAGCAGGACGTAAAGTTATTATTTCTAAGGAAGCATTGAATAAAGCCGAAAATGTTCTTTTTGATGATACTTCCGATATTAATCAATSCAATAATTTGTCTAACAAACCTATAAATAAACGAAAGAGTTTAAACATGTGTGATAATTCTACAGGTAAATTATTATGTAMTACAAAGAAAGTAAGRCTGTCTRATACAGATGTTATAGAAGAAAAAGAAAATCAAAAGTTTTATGATAATACAGAAACTATTAACCGAAGTAATACTTTTTCTAATGAAATAATGGCTAGTACAGCTGCACTCTTAGCAGATGAAAAAGATAATGATCAAACCATGGAATGGGTTTCTCAAGTAGATAATTGTAAAAAGGAAGTACCGTCTAGTCCTATTATCGGAAGACAACCTACTACACGAAAGAGGGGCAAAAAGAGGCGTTTACAGTRTAGCATGAAGCAGAATTTGAAACTAATGATTAAAGATGATACAATTAGTGATATTAATGAAGAAAGTGTTAAATGCAATAATACTTCTGARAACGAACTTATATCGAAGCAAGAAATAAATTTAAAATCTAACATKGATCCACCAATYGATAATATCACAGATATTTTACAAAAACGTCTTGAAGCTATTTTAGAACAAGTTAGTAACCTAATGCAAATTATGATTTGGATTTTTAAATATTTATTCATTATAATTATATATTTATTGTTTTAGGAAAATATAATTAAAGGGAAAAAGCTTGATAAACCTAAAGCTATTAAAGGTAAATTGTTGTTGTATAAAGAAGAAAATCATAATAATCGGTTATCTTGGAAAAAACTTGTGAGGAATGACGTACCAAATCTATGCACTCCCGAAGAGGTATTAATAAAATATATATTCAAATGTTATCTATTCTTAATTAATTGCTTAACAATTTTCTTTTCTATAGCTTATAGATCGGGGTATATCATCAGAAATATTAACAATTACATCTACTACAGCTTTATCATTCAAATTTCGCTGTATTGATTTTTATGGGTAAAATATAAGAACAATTTTCTCAGTATTTTCTTATTGAACTCGTTTTATATAATACTAATTATTTATATTTTATATAGAGAAGAAATCATTTCCAATAATTCAAATGGATTAGAGATGGAAGATGGTGGTTATCTAATACCAGATAAAGATAATTATATAGGAATTAGTGAGATTAAACGATCTTTTCTAGCAAGTCCAGGAGTTGATCCGAATCTTATTCCTAGAGATTGGATTGAAAATCATTACAAATGGATTATTTGGAAATTAGCATCTATGGATAGAATTAAATTTAATTGTATTATTATACCTAGGTAAATACTATTACTTTAATATATTATTATAAATTGCTAAAAGCCTCATTTACAATATATAGGTCATTGACACCAGCTAACGTTATGCTACAACTTAAATATCGTTACGATCGTGAAATCGATAGATTGCAAAGGCCATGTTTAAGAAGGATATTGGAAAAAGATGATTGTGCATTCAAACGAATGGTTTTATGTGTATCATCTATCACTGAGGTAAATATATATTAATAGAAAATAAATTGTATTATATTTCTTTAAAAATTGATTCAATGTATTTTCATTTTTGCGTACAGGCCAAAGATGACCAAAACAAAGAAACTAGTCAAATAGTATCTAACATAAATTATTGGAAAATAATATTAACAGATGGATGGTATAGCATTCCTGCTTCTATTGATACAACCATGATGAGTTATATAACATCTGGAAAAATACGCGAGGGTACAAAATTAATGATATTTGGAGCAGAGCTGTTGAATCTTGATCAGGGTTGCACTCCTTTAGAAGTATGTMTGATAAAAAAAAATAAATGAAATTTGTCTTTTTTATGATTGATATTATTTTAATATTATTATCTTATYAATTAGATTCCACACGATGTATCATTAAGAATTCATACCAATTCAACCAGAAGAACTAAATGGGATACTAAATTAGGGTATACACATTGTCCTGGACCTATGCTAATTAAGTTAAAAAATGTGTGCCCTAATGGTGGTTTAGTTGGCAAACTTAAAGTTATGATTACTAGAACATATCCTATGTTATATCATGAAAAAAATCCTTCTGGAGAATCTAGTATGATAGAATTTCATATTTTTG